AAGCACTTATCGATCAAAATAAGAACCTCATTTTATTCATGATTGATGAAGCTCATTTTCTTCTTAATTACATGGTTAACCACCAGAATTTCCTTTATTGGAGTAATAAAAATCCGCGACAGTTACACGAAAGATCGCTGCACACCCCAAAAGTGACAGTTTGGTGCGCTGTATCGCCAACTTGCTTCACCGGCCCTTACTTCTTCGAAGACGGTAATGGCAATGCTGTTACAGTGAACTCGGAGCTCTATATCCAAATGATCATCAAATTCTTTTCACGTGACTTAAGACGACGATATGTTCCAGTCCGACGTGTGTTGTTCCAACAGGATGGGGCGCCAACAGTTAGAGAAACGATTAACGTTATTCGCCCTCTCTTTCGTGGTCGCCTTATTTCCAGGTTTGGTGATGTTCATTGGCCTCCTCGGTCTCCAGATTTATCCATTTGCGATTGTTTCTTATGGGCATACCTCAAGGCTCATGTATACGATCACAAGCTCCGAACTCTGGAGGAGTTGAAGGAGGCAATTCGCGTGGAAGTAGCCTAAGTTGAGGAAGCGATGTTGGAGAGAGTCTACGCTAACTTCCAAGGACGTCTCCAGCAATGCATTGTCAAAAACGGTCACCACATAACTAATGTAATTTTCCACACTTAATTGTCACAAATGCTATTTGCTTTGCGAACCTGAATCCATAGATTTTTTTAAAACCCATCCGGCTTTTGTGCCGGATCCTGTCCTTGTCTAAATTTTAATTTCTTCTGTTCTCTCCACATTTCATTAGGTTCTTGCCTTAGTATTTTGCCGAATTTATTTCAAAACAGAGACGTTTCCGGTAAAATTTTAAGGAATCTTGATATCTTTATTACCTACTTAATAATAATAAAAACATTAATGCAATTTTATTTTAATTTTAGATAGATTTACTTGTAATTAATTTTATTTGGACAATCCACCTCACACCTAGGCGCGGTAATTATGCACGCTCCATTGTTAGAATTAACCATTTTCGGACAAGTCGTAAAAAAACATAAAAATTTGAAAATAAATATGCAAATGTTCGACTATAAATTAAAATATTAGACAGAGCAGCTGTTATAATACACTTTTGTAAAGTATGTATAAGCTTGTATTATGAATAGTTTTATTATATTGGCTTATAAATATCAATGACAACTAATCTAACATAAATTTCGTGTGGTGTCTCGTTAATCCAAAAATCACTAAATTTTACATACGCTTATAAATTTGCCGGACATATTGGTGTTTGAATAGATAAATTATATTGGTTCTGGCTAAATTATTCATAACGGCATACCTAGTTTTATTGCGGAACGATTCAAGGTGTGATATTTTGTTTAAAATTGTATGCCCTCAATAATTACTGAAGCCCTCTACCTATAAGGCCACAATTTGAACTAGTGTCCACTAAAAAAATTTCTTAACCCCACCTTTCAACACTGTTCATCTGTAAGTATATGCGTATGTATACCGACATGATAATTCTAGAACGAAATACTTGATCGACTTGCTGTTTTCTGTTTTCATTTTCTTTGATAATTTTTTCTAGCTAAGAACCCTATTGATTTTCAGAATTTTCGGTTTAGCTTCAGTGCTTTAAATATAAATGTTATCTAAAATGAAATGCGCTTCCTACGGAGTCTATTTCATGCACTGAAATAAGGGTACTGTTTCATTATATTGATGGTTATGCTTGTCAACTGATAAACTAATTTTTTTTATATTGCTTTCATTCTAAAATGTCAAATGAATTATTAAAATTTTTTGAAAGTCTTTTATAATATCTTATTTAAGAAGTTATTTATTTCAGATAAGTTAAAGTGATAAATAAAAATATTAATTTTGATATAAGGCAGAACTCGACAAAAAAATAACTTTATTTGTTAAAATATATGACAATCATCAACTGACAAACTACTAGCAACAGACATAAATGACTATATATTTACTAGATATAATAATCCAGTATATTTTAAGTTAGTTTAGTCTACAATACTACGCCTCAAATAAACATATTTAAAATTTTATAGACATACTAAACACAGAGATTTTAAAAACTTAAAGAGAACTTCTCGCCTCTTTTTCAATCCACTGCTTTTCGATTTTTCGAGGTAACTCAATAAGGGACCACTTAGTATTTTCTTGTAGAGCACGCATTCTTCGTCGACTGCTTTTTGGCAATTATCGTAATCATATCTGATGAAGATGTCTCCATAACATTGAGAAACATCTGCTAAAAACTGTTCTGCAATGAGTTCTATAGTAGCATAGCAAATATTCGGGTTTCTTACGCACTCGTGAGCTACGACGAATAGATAGAGGTACTTCTTTCGTTCTTACTTTGACTTTTTTGTATTTTTCTTCCAATACTGGTTCTTCATCTGTCTTATATGAAAAATGTTCTTTAAGTCCAATTCTAGAACTCGCTGCTTTACGAAGTTGTATTTCTAAATGTTTTAGAGTTTCAGAACTAGGATACGAATTTTCGTCAAAGATAACATCATGACCTTTTAAAACGTTCGGTTGCCCAAGACTTCATAACTGATATTCATTAAAACAAAATCCCAACATAATGCGCCTGGCTTTCCAACTTACTTTTAATCAGTTGATGTCGCAGAGGAACAGTTTCAGCACACCCAAATACTTTTAATTTTTGCATTTTAGGTTTTTCACAACAGGTGTTTTGTTCTAAAGTATTTTTGTAGGGGACCGATTATTTATATAGTCAATTCTACTTTAGACCACATGATTTTATTTACTTTGAAAGACAGCGAACCGTTTCCATAAAAGAGCGGTTCTTTCTCTCAGCTATTCCGTTTCGGCATGTAGATCCTATTTTTTTACACTGTTTGGACCTCCCGTGCTACACCCTAATCCGTCTATAGTCTGGCGGCACTGCAGTCTGCGACTAACCCTACCACCATTTGAAGGACATACTACTTTCCCATTCACCAATTCACTCCCTCATTCATTTTACGTCATTGATGGTTAACTTCTGGTTGGATGAGTCTCACGGTGATACGGCCCATAGTGGAAACTCCGAGTGATCACAAATCCACGACGTGAGATCACTGCTTAACTATTGCGAGAAAAACGTATATCTACTAGTGGTCTCCAGTTTCATTAAAATTGTTTTTGAGGTCTCGATTTATAAATTCTATACCATTATCATAGCGAAATATGCTGATTTTTCAGTTAAAATGAGCGGTGGCCATAACTGCAAATATTAAAATGAAGGGACTTCTGACTTATTTTGCAAAGTATATAAATACACAAAAAAGGGTAAAATCATCTATAATATTAGTTTGTGCAACAATAGTGGATATGATGGCCATATCGCACGAAGACGAAATTTGAATGCTCAATCGTGCGAGTGGAGTGCATTGTGCATTCTGTAGGAGCCTATAGGACCTGTCTCTCAACTGAAAAACCTGCTGGTTATTGCTGCGGGGTGTCTAAAGATAGCCATCTTCCTTGCTCTTCAAACCCCTGCATTTTAGCTTTTCAGGTCAAAGTCCTGCAGGTTAATATCGTCGTTGAAAGGTGTTTTCAGATGTGGCCGTTTGGTGGGCTTCTATTAACCCGATAGTAAATGTTTGGGTGGAGCCATTCTGTCTGCCTGCTCCATAGAGCACACCTCCATATTCTTATACCTCCTTAAGCAAACTCGATCTTTACAAAAAGCAGTGTCATTTATACCCAGTTTTTTCAAAACTCCTCGTATAATAATTATAAAAGCATCACTACATGGTACTTAATAGTAAATTTGTAAAAAAATAGACAGGAACTATTAAATACGTTAGCAAAAAATAAGATACCGAAATCATTCCATTTACATCCAATATTATTAAAAAATCAACTTTAAAATGAAACATCGCTGCATGAATGTCATCTTCTCTTTTTGGCATCTACGAGTGAATACCTAATAGCAGCCAGTTCTCTGCATTGTAACTTGTAATCTGAGAACGACGGAAGTAAATATTGCAGATAAAGTCAAAGAAGTCAGTTCGGGTTTTTATGCTGCCAGTATGGTACGGTGTGACGTGTCTGATCCGATGACAGCTGGCCTGTGTTCAATAGAAACTCAGTTTTAAAAGTGTGTATATATAGTGACTAGTATGGGAACCGAATATATATGAAATTATAAATAAAGGTTTATTTGAAGTTTCTATATGTACAAACACGTTATCTAATAAAATATTGACTTTTAAGACAACTTTAGTAGTATTTGTAACTGTACATGTAACTGTTGGACACATGAAATGTATGATTTATAAATTTTTATTTTTTAAAGATTGATTTTCAGTTGTTCGACAATTTTATTTAAGGATAAAAGTGTTAAAGAATTATATTAAAATTACTTACAAATGAAGATAATGACTATATGTTAGAATAAACTTTCTTTTATAAATTAATAATAATAATAACATCCAGTTCATGTAGATTCAACAAAATTGTTAGTTTAATCTCTTTTTCTCAAACAAATAGTAGGATACGAAAAAATTTTTATAGGCAAGCAAGTTGTATTATTACTAAGTTAAAAATAAAAAATATGAATTCAAAAAATGTTCTAGCGAAATTTTTGGTGCCGAAACCTATTTAAAAGGCCCTGTGAGTACCCACCTCTGGAATTACTGAATCAACTTTTTTCACATGTCCATAAAGTTGTAAACAAACTGTGATAGTTTTATTAAAATTGGTCAAAAACTTTTTAGAATACTATCTTATTACTTCAACTTTACAAACAAGGAAATAAAATTAAATCATGTTTTATCGGACAAACTACTTTTATTTTTTGAAAAGATATAGGCTGGTAAAATCCAGACCATATAAACTTGACTACCCGGTATAATTTTAAACCCTTTAAATACGATTATTATCGACTAAAAAATGATGAAGATTAGATTAATCATGATACAGATAAAATAATCCCATTGTTGTTGTTAATCAAGTGAATCCATAAATTTAAAAAGTTATCTAGTCAAAACAATTTATTATCGAAAATTTACATATCTCCACATTTACTAATATCAACTAATTCAGCTGGGCATTTAATTTGGTAGAAAGATACATTAGGATTAGAAACTCCGTTCATAAAGGTCCACCTCCATCTGCACCCATCTTGCAATACTGCGGGTAACTCGCTGCACTGTTCCTCGCTAGTAACTCCACCATATTGCTCACCCCAACCAGTAGCTGGAGCATTCCATTGTCTAGAACATCCAAGTGGAAACACGCCCACACCTCCACCTGGTATTAGAATGTCGAAGTGGTTTTCCTCCAGAGCTGCTCCGGTGTTTGTGACTTGAGCTATAAGCCTCTTCCCACTGAGATCACCTTTGAAGTCCATGACGAGACAAATGCAGCAATCTTCTGTGTCTAAACCACCTGTAAGACACATAATGGACAATTTAAAGTACAATGCAAATGATAATGCTCACCCGTACATTACCTGCAAATGAAGCAGCTACAAAAGCATAAGACAAGGAAGAGTTAACAATCCTTGGTTGCTGGCTGTTACAAGTGAATGCAGTTCCTCCCTCAACGCAGCCAGATTGACCATTATGACTGCGCTCGCTCGGAGTTACTCCATCAACAAGACATGTTTGAATCGGAACACCATTTTTAGTGTGAACGATTTGATCCCAAGCACAGGATGGTGCGCAGCAATCCCAGTACCTGGTTGTTATACCTTCTCCACTTTTGCCACCAGGGATTGGCGTAAGGTATTGGGCTAAGGCAACGCAAACTTAAAAAAATAATAAAATAGTATTAAAATAATTGTTTAATTAAGTATTTATTTCTGGACTTGTTGTAAATGTGCAAGCTTAGAATGATTTAGGAATAAAAAACTAGAATCACATACTGACTTATTTTATTTTTATGCCACAAAAACACAGAGCCAGCTAATAATAAACATTTAATTAATAAATAATATTAGATTAAACAAACAATAAACCTTAGGTGCTAGGGTTCTTGTGAAATGATAATATTATTATTAATAAATTATTAATAAATTAATAAAAGTTTTATCAAAATTAGAATTATTTGAAATCAAACAAACAAAAAAAGGAACAATGTTAAAATTGGATGGACCTTTATACAAGTAAATCGAGAAAATAGTAGTTAACCAGATGGAGTGAGTTTCATAAATTATAAAGGATTTACGGAATAAACTAAACTTATTTGGTGTTTAAACATATGAAGTACCTGAAGTAAATGTTAATAGCAGTGACCAACTGCTTACTATATCTGAAAAATATCTTGTCCCGGTTGGGAGCAAGCCGTTATAGTCTTTTCTGCCTCTTCAACTACACTGGAACGATCAGAAATCGGGTCTGGCAGGATAGGGTGAAAGAAATGGTGGTAGATATCTGAGAGAATGTTACTAACCCAGAATGTTTCTGTGAGAAAAACTCATAGCAGAGAAGACGAGAGTGGGACCCAAACCTACTACCTTCTGAATGCAAGGGAGATGCGTTTACCACACTTTATAGAGCCCTGATTAAGAGTGAAAGAAAATGTTGAACTACGATTTTCAGAAAGAATAAGGTTCCAGTGTTTAAATCTGAAACAAATAGGGCGGTAAATATTTGTGGAAAGTTACCTATGACCACCTGGTGTGATATGTTGAATGGTAGGTCTAAAAGATTATAATTATGGGCTTGATATAGACACCAAAGCCAGGCCTCGGTGAATAGTAGTCTCCAAATTATGGTTTTTAGACCATATTGTAATTAGAAACATCTATAAAATTTAATTTTTTAACCAGGCACTACTTTTCTAAATATTATACACTATTTTCTCTAAACAAAATACCGCAATAATATAGCTATACGTTTTTATAATCGTACAGACTCTACCACGATAGCAGCCACTGTTATGTAACGCTAATAATGTTTCGAAAAAGTAAGACATTAACACTCACTAATAGAGAAAACAACTACGCAAGCTATGTAGGACCTCATTTTCACTTATGGATTTATGTTCAATTAAATTTATAGTCTCCTTATATATTAAATATTTTATCTTTGAAATATTTTGAAGATTAGTGGTCACGAGCCATTATCGGGGATTAGCCAGATACTTGTACTTAAAGCAAACAATTAATTGTTCCCATTCTTTTTTTTATTGAGTATTTACAAGTATATTTTTATCTTAAATTATTACAGTGTTATTAAAAACTGATAATTTAGAATATTTATAGGTAAAAATTATAAAATAATGTTCTAATGTTAAAAGTTTTGGATTCAGTAATTTTTCAGTACAAATAATATTAATATTAATAGTTAAATTGCATTAATTATTACAATCAATTAAAACTTAACATTTCATTTATTCACATATATAAAAAATTGACAAAAAGAAAGAAATCCCACAAAGTCAAAGCTGTCTGTGGATTGGGTTTGTTCATTTATTTATTTTCTTTTTGATACAGTAAGTGCATCTTTCTAACATTAAAATATACTCCTATTTTTACATATCAAAAAATGTATACATCTCTTTCCTTAGTATTGTTAATAAAAATGATTTAATTTTTTTCCTAAAATAAAATAGAGAATAAGTTGAAAACGAAAGTTCCTTCGGTAAGAAATTAAAAAATCTAGGTTCCAAAAACATAAAACTTTTGCTGTTTTTTTAACAATGGGCCATGTTCTGATGTTATGCTGTTTTATAAATTATATTGTAATAGTTATAGTCACTATACAAGTTATTCTAAATATTCAGTCTGTTAAAAAAGCCAAAAGTTTTTAAAATAAACCATTTATAATTTAAAATTTGAAATGTGTACGTCATCGGGAATAGACCAATTAGCTTGTGTCAAAGTTTTGTTTGTTATACAGAGCCAAGTCAACGAACAAAACGACACACAGAATATCAAAGTGAACGCACATCTAAGTGACACTTGAAAATTGACACCACCTAACCTAACATTCGTTGTTGCCGTTGTTTACTTTTCTCGATTCTCGATTTATTTCTTTTGTCTTTGCTAATTGGTTTAATTTTAATATTAATATGAGTTTGTCAGCTGGATTTATAAAAGCTGATTCAAAGGTTATAACCATTGTAAACCAAGATATGATTACTGTATTTTTTTTTTAATTTATGAGTGCCGAAGTTAAGAATGTTAAGACAGAAAGGTATGTAACATATGGGGCAATACATATTATGGTAAAACACATTTATCTCAGGTCATTAGGGTTATTAAACAGTAACATTTTTCTCCAAAAATAAACATTTTGTTGTTATATTTAAGAATGGACTCATTTATATGTATAAGAAAAACATATTTTTTTTATAATATATTAGCGTATACTGATATCTACAAATATAACATTAGAAACTGGGATGAGATATCTTGTATCTTGAACGAAGAGCGACGTTTAAATTTCTGCTGTTGGTATTATTTCTATAATTAGTAGTAAAAGTATAATTATTATGTATTACCTAAGAAATAGCAAATTTGTTATTGTATAAAACGAGTTAATACATTTTTAAAAATTATCTCAAGCTTGTAATTTTTATGGCTCTTAGTTAATTTTGAACAAAAACACCGGATTCTTATATTAATACTAAATAACATTTAAAACTCTTTAGAAGGGTATTGCACAAGTATTTACTCTAATACTGTTTTTATTTAGCCGAGGACTACCTACGTGTTATATGTCATTGTAAATAATTCTATATTAAGTACATTTTTGTATATGAGTAACTACTTATTGTAAATGTACATAAACAATAGAGAAAAGAACATGAGCAATACGCAGTTTTAATTTATACAAATCACCGGTCTAGATGGGACATTGCCTGGCAATATAAACACTGGTCCCGCATATTTGTAGGCTCTACAGGACAAGTTTGTTGCATAAACATGTACTTAATACATGAAAACATATGCTGTAACAAAGACGTGCAGACCAATAATTCTGACGTCATTTCTATTGAAATAATTGGAAAAACTGATTTATTGGGATGTCCGGTAATCTACTCTGATAGAGAGGCCATTTCATACAAACCAACATTCTCATCAATCAAAATGAGCTTGTGAGTATAATCTGCATCATCTTGTAACCAAGATAGAGGGGGACTCAGTAGCCAAGAAATATTTCAAGGAACATTTCTTGACATATAAGGAGTTTTTGATAATACCTTTAAATGAATGGTAGCTGCCGCTTGAAAACATAGATTTGAAGACACCATCTGTAGGTGGATAGAAGACATGTTACGCGGACGCCAAATACAGGGTCAAATATTCAGCAAAACCATGCAAGTGAATATCCACAGGGGATGCCCATAGGGTGGAATTCTTTCTCCTTCACTGTGAAACCTAGTGGCAAATGAAATGCTGAAAACACTACAACCAAAGGCTCTACTCCAAAGCATACGCCGATGACATAGTAATCCTCATCCGATGGAACTCATGCTAGGAGCTCTGAGGCTGACAGAAATGTGGTGTGTCAGGGAAAACTTCTTGACAAACCCTGACAAGGCACAACTTATAACCTTTCCTCGGAAAACAAGTTTGTAGGTCTTATAAACTCCGACTCTGTTTGGAGGAAGACTAAATAAAACGAACTAAGTAAAATATTCGGGTCTATTCCTAGATAGCAAACTTACATGAAACCAGCACTTAGAAAAAGTTATCACCAAATGTAAAATGTCTCTCATTGTAGGGAGACGGGCATTTTGAAAAACATGGAGAATAAAATCGAAAATGGTCCACTGGCTATACTGGGCAATAACAAGGCCCATGATAACTTATGGAGCAGTTGTCTGATGGCCAAAAGTAAACCAGGAAACAGCCCTCAATACGCTCTCAGGACTGACATGCTTTTGTAGTACAGGATCACTGAGAAAGAACTACACTGACAGACCCTATAAAAATCATTCTAAATCTCCCACCTCTTGACCTAATTATAAAGAGGAACGCCAAAAAGAGTGCATACAGGCTGGATATGTTCAATAACTGGAACCCACTGGGACATATAAAATATACCAGAATTACAGATGAAGAAAATGATCCTATATTAAACATGAGATAAGATCATATAACTTCCCGCCTAAATCTTAAACAGACTCTTTTACGTGAACTGCAACTGAAACGAAGTAAAGAAGGAGAGAAATACTTGCTTAGCGGTTTCGTATGGCATATGAATGGATCTAAAACTAAGAAAAGAACAAGCTCTGGCGCACATGAAGATAAACCCAAATGCTACGTCATAGTCTCACTGGGAGAACATACCACTCTAGTTTCGGCGGAAATAGATGCAATCGAATTTTCTGTACTAGATAATTTAAGAAAGAAGTAAAATAAACAAATCATTTGAATTCTCTCAGATAGCCCTTAATTCAAAGAGAATTAAGTTAAAGCTGGTCTGGAACTGCACTGGAATATTAAATAATCTGGCAACCTATATTAAGGTATAACTAGCGTGAGTACCAGGGCACAAAGGTATCCAAGGAAATGAAAAGGCTGATGAACTCGCCAAAGGGGGATCAGAACTACCATTCAGAGGACCCGAACCAGTATTTGGGATAAGCAAAACATCTGTTCAACAGACAGTGTACAGGTGGATTATTACAAAACACCTAATTTACTGGCAACAGATAAGAGGATACAGAATTAGTAAGCTCATGCTAAGGGGACCAAACCTAGGCATAGCGACTGAGGTACTACAACTCGCAAGACCTCAGATATTCACCATTGTGGGATTACTAACAGGGTACTGTTTTCTGCAACACCTTTATCTGACAGGATTACACAAAGATCCCACTCCGTGTAGAGTCTGCATGAAAGAGCATGAAACCTCGTACGAAAACTTGGTAGGGAACTTACTAAAACTACCCATAGAAAAATACAGTAGACCCAAGAGGCCGCAGTGTTATGGGCCAAACCTAACCGTACCTGCTCATAACCGGTAAAGATAAAGATAAAAAAGCCTCATAAACATTTTTGTCTTTTCGAGTTGTTTTCTTATTATTCTTTATAGGAAGATATTAGGTCCCAATTCGTTATTACTTGTGATCATTTAGTAGATTTCAGGTTAGAGATATATTACTTAAGTTGTAAAATCTCTCTTCTTGTAGTAATAATGCATTAAGTCCTTTTGTTTAAAAGTATGCAAACGTATTATTAGGCCTTCTTATCACAATTTTAACCCAATTCTTTAATACGTCTACTGAAAAATAGTGTCAGTCACTGCTGTATTTAAAAAGAGTGACAAAATGGGTGCCTCAAATGACGATTTATGTCATCTATTTTATATACTCTTTTTGCTACAACACTATTAAACACATGTCCAGTATTTACATGAATAAATTTACAACAATATTGCTAAATTGAAATAATAAAATCACAAATACGTTTGTATTTTATGAAATAATTTGGAACATAGAAAAGTAATAAAAATTGAAAAAAAAAAAGAAAATCGTAAAAATGTACTCTTAAAAGTACTAAAAAAAATCATCACTGCATTAAATAATATTTTATTATTTTTAGATCTGCCAAGCAAGTATATGGAGATAATGCGATTTTCCATGAATAATTTGAGAGAAGAATAAACAGAATAATAACAATACCTGAGGAGGTGTGTGGCTCAGTGGTAGAATCTCTGCCTGTGGATCCAAGGGTCCCAGGTTCGAATCACACCGGTATTTTTTAAATTAATTTAAATTATTTAAAATTAATTCTAATGCTTTGGTAGGATTCCCCACTCGACCATTCACTGTTGGGTTTTAATTAACAGTGCTGTTCCCAAAGTGACACTGGGAAATAGTAACAAAGCCTACACAGAACACGAGGCTAATAACCTTAGCAGTTGATGCCAATGACACCAAATTAAAAAAAATAACAAGACCTGAACGTAAAGTATTTTGGATTACTTCTCCCGCATTTGAAATAAATAATGAGGTAGAAATAACAGAAGTTGAATTTGATAATAAATCTTTAGAGGACATTTTAATTTGTGCAACTGCATTCTGGAAGAGGGTTATTTTTAAATGTTTAATTGCACCTTATTGTTAGGGC